TTGCGATTGGCCACCACCAGAGTTCACTTTGTAGACTGGATGTGGTGTGTGGAGCCCAATGCACAGAAAACAGCTTTTGTTATTTTGTCTTCTGCCAGTGTGCAGAATGAATCAGAATGAGATCTAATTGCGATGGAGTGTAACATATTTAATTCTAATGTTATTTCACTTTCCAAAAATAGAAGCAGTTTGTTCTGACATTATCACTAGATATTTTATTGCTATGTTATATTGAACAAAATTGATTCATTTGGTCACATGACAATGTTTTAACTCTTATGAGATCAACTGCTAAGACTCATGCCATTTTACTATGACTGTACATGAGAACAATTCTCTTTTTTTATCAAATGGATGAAATAAATTTCAGTTACAGCAAACTATAAAAACTATATCTGATTATATTATAAAACAACCCAACTTGTAATGACACATGTAAAGACTTTTTTGTTTAAGTTATCAAACTTCTTTCATCACTCTTTGTTTCTTTTATAACAACATTCCAAAATAGAGATTAAATTTTGGTTCACTATAATTCTTTATTATTATCATTATACTTAATTGCTATTATTCTTCTAACTTGTGCATTCAGCCATCAAACTCTAATCTTGTACATATAATTTGGATCTGACTTTCCCTATTGCTAGCCATACTGTAATTTTTCTTTTTCTGATCAAGTACCTAAACAAACAGACTTCTTTAACTTAACAAATCAACTTTGGTTTCTTATAGAGTGTGCATGTGAATAAATATAAATAAGATTTGCTGTGTCATTGAACAAGAGAGCCTCATCCAGTTCAGGCATGACATTAGACACTGGATAAAACCCTTCTTTTATTAGATACAGTGCAGCTCAATTTGGAAATGAAGAACTTAGCAATGGTGAAAAATCAAGATACTTTTATATATTTCGCAAAATACTTTCTCTGTTGTTGCGAGATGAAAAGCAAAGACTTTAAAAGCAAGTTTCAAAGGTCTTTCTATTCTCCACATTAATTTCTACAGACACTTATGATTTAAACATTAATCCTTTGAATTCTGGGCAATTTTTGTCATACTAGAAGTAAAGTAGATGAGGATTTCATTAGTAAGCTTAAAACACCAAAAAGTTAAGATTTGATTGTGGCTTCAACTTCTCAGTCATTCTCTGCATATTCATTATAAAGTATAAGTTTAACAATGATTTTTATCTGATTTTTGGACCCTTTCCAGCCAAACTCTCTCCAATTTCTAGGTTTTGAATCCTATTTGTCAGATTCACACCTAAGTAGTGGTGGGGTATGCTTCACTGTGTAGAAGGCTTCTATAAAAAGAAGTTATCCTTAAACATGAACTTTGTTCATATCTGTGTAAAAGTTCAACATTGACAGAATGAATGTTGAATTAGAAAAGCATTTCATTTTATATGCAATATATTCTTTCTTTTATACATCCACAATCTATCAAAAGCACTTTACAATTGAATGAAATTGAATAAGTAGGATAATTGAACTTAAAAACATTTTTTCAAAAGATAGGCTTGTAGATCTTAATAGTAAAAAGGTGGTGACATTTTTTTTTTCATCTTCCAGCATGGCATATATTGTGATGTTCAGATTGGATCCATTTGTGATAGAAATTCATTGTTTGAAAAATGGAAAATTTTTAAAACAATCCAACAGCCATGAATTGATACTCTGTAACTTGTGATATTTTACTTTGAGTTAAAAGCTTCAGAATTGCTTAGCATTTGCAAAAATAGCTTTGTTACTGAAAACAGCTCTGCATTTTGATATATGACTAAATAACTTTTTAAAGAAAAAAATGTATTTATCTGTGTTGTAAATTATTATTTTTTTTTTTATTTCTCTCTTAATTTTGTTGTCAAAATCTAATATTTAAAATCGGTGAAAGACTTTTCTAATGAATTACTTTCTTCTGTTGATGAAAGAGTTTTTGAAAATGGTGGTATTAAAAACAATTCAGTAAAAAGTACACATTTTTTTGAGATTTTAGGCAGAACATGAAATATGTAGCCTATCACTTATTTAAGGAATGTCAGAAATAGATTTGGTGGAGATGAGGTGCAGAAGCTTCTACTTGAAACACTGATTATAGATTTATAGTAGTTTATGTGCAGAAGGAAAAAAAAAAACATTAACAAAGGAAAATGATTATATCTTTTGGTTTATTGACAATAGAAGATAAAACTTTTGATGAGCTGCATAGTGTAAATATTTGTTATATATTTATTGAACTTTTTCATAAGAAAATCGTTTCTATTTTGGGCCTAATATTTTAAGATTTACAATTTGAGATTTGTATTGAATTGATAAAATTTTGGCTTAACCAGACATTAGGCTTTTTGTACTGTATAAATATCAACTATGTATTCTTGGTACCATTAATTCTATTTTCTCTCATGACAAGCAACAGCATCTGTCTATAAACTATCCTCAGAGTATGTGTGTTTATATATTCTGTGTATTTAGGCAGCAAATGTTCTTTAAGGCAAATATTATTCAAATGACTTCATAGCCTGATCCTCAAATAAATAAATATATATATATATATATATATATATATATATATATATATATATATAATAAAAAGGCTTAAACACTAATATTCCATGGTCATAATTTATTCCATTGGAATCGTAAATACAATCCAATTCATCAGACCTACAAATTCTAAAAGAAAATAGAAAAAACAACTCCGGAAATAAAAATAGGATTTAGAGAGAGTGTAAATATGAGAGTGTAGGACGAATGTTAGAGCTAAAGAGATGGGTAACAGACGAGAGAAGGTGGGAGATTAAACCTTAACAGAGAGAAGTTTTATAGAGGTGAGTGGAAAAGGTTTAAGTGAGTGAAATATGAATGTTGTCGGATGTTTAATACATTAAAGATACATTTTGTGGTGACATACACACACCATAGACGATAAAGATCAGAATAAGAGGGAGGGAGAGGAAAAGAAAAGAAGGGGTGTGGGGGGGGAGATGGGGCGGGGGGAAACTAAAACTGAAGGGCATTTACTGAAAGGGCTGCTGTGTAATTAAGAAAATTTGACAAAATTAATATCGACTACAGGTTACAAATCAAATATAAACATATAAAAAATAAATATAACGATTATCTAATCTAGCAAGGACCTATATTTTTATGTTCAAAAACACATGCGAATACACACATACACAATAACATATACACGTACATACATACATATAGGCGTGTACCCACATACACACATCCATGTACACATATACACACACATACATATTCTCACACATATATATATATACACACACATACAAACATACACATACATGTATACATATAATACATAAATACACACACACACACACACATACATGTATACATATAATACATAAATACACACACACACACACACACATACATATACACATACATCCATACACATCCACTTCTATATATATATATATATACACGTTTACACACATATATACATACGGACACATAAACATATATACCTAAAACCTTACATCTCCATACAATTACATACACCCATCTAAACAAATAAACAATGTATCCCTATATCTATCCATCTAACTATACATACATACATATATACATACATATACACCCATATACAGATATATATGAGTACATACATACCAAAACATACACACACATATAAACACATCTACATATACATATATCCATATACGTATACACACATACATACACATACATACACCTATATACACACACAGCTAAGCACATATATATATATATATATATATATATATATATATATATATATATATATATAAAAATTAAAATGTAAAATCTAAAAAAGTAAAATTTCAAAAAATGTGGTGTAAAAAAAAAAAAAAAAAGAATTAAATACATAGCGCATCACATAAAACATACACAATGATATATATAGAGATAAACATAATAGTCATTCTATTAAAATGTCATGCCCAATGTTATTGAACCAAGATGGAACTGACATAAGTGACAACATGTTACAAAATTGTGTTTATGTTTTGAATCGTTTCTTATGTTTACATTTAGAAAATATCTTATTACGAAGATTCAGCAGTTCATCTTGATTCTTATATATATATATATATATATATATATATATATATATACCATCATACATTTACATTACAACACTCTTTGCCTATGTCACAACACTCACTCATTTTACAAAACTCACCATTGTCTCTATCAATTCTGATGATGACTTAAAAAAATCAAAATCTGGACCATATTTCTTATACTTTTCTTCCAAAATGAACTTCGGATAATTTTTGATGGAATTTCCTCTTTGTCTGAGAAGGATTATTCATAATTTGGAAAAGTTGATCAGTAAAATTAATCAACACAAAATGTCTCTTATATAATTCATATTTTTTCTTTCTCTCTTTCATATATGTAATAAAAACCAGTGGATTCTTTAATATAAAGTTTATTTCAAAAATCTATAGTGAATTCAAGAAAATTTTATGGATTGATCTTTTTGTAGATTTCCTTTGATCTGTGATACTGAACTCTTATTGGCTGGACTATTTTACATGGACAGCAACAAGGAAAAGGTGTCTCAAGTCAGCAAAAAAAATTATATTTTATCTTGAATTTTGCTGATAAGTTGAATAAGATCAATGAGATAAATATAGAGTTTTTTTTAATCTTGAATGTTTGATACTTTAAGTTTACAAATTAAAACAAGATTCCATTCATAATTAAATTTTATTTATGATTTCTTTTATGTCTAAAATCTTGAACAGAATTTGATATGACTGATAAAGTCAAATAGTTAACAAAAAAAAAAAAATAACAGAAAAAAAAGAATTCCATTTCTAGAAACTCATTTAACACAATTCCTTAATTATAAATGGGGTACATAATGTTTCTCTTTAGACAAATGTGTAAACCTCTTTGTGAAGTTTAATGTTTCTTTCTTCTTTTTACAGTTTGGAGTTTGTCTGCCAGGATGCTCTGCGGTGTCTCTAGGGCAGATCTATGGTCAAAAAAGAAGCTGGAGTTTGTCGTCCCGCCCCTGCTGCTGTTAGCAGTGTTCGGAGACTACATCACCACGGTCACCACCACCACCACCACGGTCACCACTCCCCTCACCGCAGCCACCATCACCAGCAGCAGCAGGCGCATCCAGCACCCAAGTCTTCAGCTGCCGTTGCCAGTAATAGCAGCAGTATGACCACTGAAGATCTCATTCAACCAGCTCAGGTTGTGAAAGACCGATGGAAAGTGGTATGTTTTTCTACATCTCAGTAGGCAAACAAAAAAAGTTGCATGTAAACAAAGAAAAAAAGTCAAGAAAAAAAATCCCACCTTTTATCATTTTTGGTGGAAGGGTGCATTAAGCATTAAAAGTATTAATTAAAGAATTAACCAGATATTGTTGATGTGTTTGTGCATGATTTTATATATATATATATATATATATTCCAGGAAGAGATACTGAAAAGTTCTTTGCCTGACTCACTGCTCGAAATCTGGTCAAGCAGAGAACTTTTCAGCACCTTTCATTTATGGTAAAAATAATATATATATATATATATATATATATATATATATATATATATATATATAAATCACTAAATCTATATCATCAAGTTTTTCATTATTAATTTATGAACTTATTTATATACCTACCTTATATATATATATATATATATATATATATATGTGTGTGTGTGTGTATTAACTATAAGCAGAATGAATTTTCTCTGAGAAACATAACAGAAAACACAACCCCAGTTGTCCAAACAAGAAAATTATCTATTATAAAAAATTTAAAACAGCTAATCTCGTCATCAACAACAACCCTCCTGCAAAAATTATTTATGAATTTATATGTCCCTTAAGGAACTGCATTCCTCATCAAAGCAAATTCATGAATAATTATATTGGACATACCACTACATGGTTATCAAGAAGACTTGTGTTACCTCTCTCTGACCATAGTTCAATTAGGACCCATTTGCACACACAGAAAATTACCAAACTTTGTCTACAACATACTTGTAGAAAATATTATTATAATAGCCTTATCCACATGTAAAAAAAAAAAAAAAAAAAAGGTTAAAAATAATGGAGGCATTAAGAATTTAAAAGAGAAATGCAATACTCAATAATACTAACTATGAACACAGTACAATGTACTAAGTTTGAAAAATAAAAATAAAAAAACATTCTCATCACAATAGATACACATATATAAAAATTTACATATATTCAATTAGAAATAAAAAAAATCCTTGATAATGGCTAACAGAATAACCAAAAGTGCTCAGATTTATAGAAAATTTGGGCAGTTTTTACACACTTTATATCCAGAAAAGAAAACACTCATAGAAACACAAGAAAAATTGAATAAAAAAGCTCAATCATTGTGCCTTGTCCATCATCTTTAATTAAACTTGTATGTTTATGTTATGTACTTATACACACACAAGTGTGTAATGGCTGCCAGTTTCATGCTTCAATGTAATCATCAGGCCAAGTATCACTGCCTTTTAGAGGGCTATATATATATATATATATATATATATATATATATATATATAGTGTGTTTTGTATGTAGGTCATAAGGGAATTAATGAAAGTATGTGGGCGGGGAGAAATTGGCTTTTCTCAGTTTCTTTTAAGGGTTATTTACTGTTTTGACTTGGATTGTTCCTTTATGCTGGTTAGGTGATTGCATGTAAATGTGTTGAATATATTTATGAAAATGATCTATTTTTTTTTTTTTTTCATTTTAATTACTTAGTTTTGTACATATTTTTTATACATTCTTATTTGTTTCTATGTTTTGCTGTTAAGAATAAAGTTTAGGTTATGGGGTTTTAATTTAGTCTTTCTGGTCATGATGGATTGTACGTATCATAAAGGGAATTTGTTTTCATGTCTTCATTTGGAAATGAATTCTAATCTTTTGTTTTGAACTTTATCTTGTTCTTAAAAGGTGATTCACAATGATGCTTTCTGTCTGTAGCTTCTGTTTCTAATCATGTTTTATTCTGTCATTAAAGGTGGATGTTAGTGGATATTTGCGATGTAATGGTTGGTACTCCAGGTGTATTTTTTATGATTTGTATTATGTTTTCAATATGGTTATAGATTTATGATATTTCTCTTGAATATTCTGTGTAGTTTACTTGATTTTCGGAAGTTTTTTTCAATGCATTTGATGTATATTTTTCCTATATATGTTTTTACATTTTTATTATATGATTGTTTGAACCATTGAATGATGTTTTTGTTTGATTTTTGTTTTCTGTGAGGTATGAATGTAATATTTGTTAAAAACCTAGTATTTTTCATACTTGTTTTTGTTTTGTGAAAAGATTTTGTTGTTTGATGAGTTGTCAGATAATCTGCAATTGGTGGAGAATGGAATTTGTTTGATTATATTGGGTTAGTGGGTGGTTGGAGGAAATGTACATATCCGTGTTTGAATTCTAGTCAAATCCATTACTAATACCCTTGGGAAAGGTATGAACCCTCTTCTTCCCCCAGCTATGTGTAAATAGCAGGACAGACTGGGTTCTATAGCCTTGGATAGCAACTGGTCTACCGCAGAAAGAAATGGCAACCTACTGTGAGGAAAAAAAATCTGCCTCATCAGTCATGTATCTTGTGATACATGATCGCCCAAGTGTGTATCACGCATGGCACGTAAGTCATTTTGCTTTCTGTACAATTGATACGTAAGTTTGCAGAGAGTTAAATTTAAATCTAATAAACCAACCTTTTTTTGGTTTATTTTTATTTTGATATCAAGATTCAAATTTCTTGAAAAATTTTATAAATTAGTTTCTGATATAATTTATTTTATGTTTTTGTTAAGTTTGTATAGAGATTATAGAAACATAAGAAATTACAAAAATAAAATAAAAAAGAATTTTTTTTTGCTTTACTATAAGAAATTATGTGAAGAGAATTTAATTATTGTTTGTTCTATTAAGTAGACCAACTCACCCTCAATATTACTAAGGAATCATATTAATGTTATTATAACTATTCTTGAACTCTTACCTGATACAGATGTGTGCTTCAGCTTGTCGATGATGATGATAATAATAATAATAATAATAGTAGTAGTATAATATAATTGCCTGCAAAACAACTCCTACATAATTAGGCATAGACTTTTTGAGAACTCTAAAGTTTTCCACTGAGATCTGGTACTAGGATATTAATTGCAGGTCTCTTTAACTGCTGTAAGTTACATGTCAGGCATTTTACAAAAAAACTTGTAGCCCCAATATATGCCATAATCATGGCATTAAATAACCTTGAAGGAGTTGAAATGCCATTAAAAAAAATAATTGGTGTACATATATGTCTGTTTATAAGCCTAAGATGATATTCCAGGATTGTATAGAAACATACTTGAAGAAAGCTAAAATCTCAGAAAGAGACTGGGAATAAAATACAAATGATTGAGCAAGATGGAGGAAAGCAGTATATAACAAAAGAGAGAATTTTGAAATGGCTTGAAGAAATCACAAAAAGTTGAAGAGGGATACTAGAAAGTGTGTTAACATTATACTGCCAAGAAATATGGGCAGCGGGGGGGGGGTAGAGGGAGCTGACATGTGATAAATGTGGGAGAGTATATTCCTGCGGAGCGGAATTGAAAAGTCACAAAAGAAGCCATGTACAGAGAGTTGACTTAGATTATGCTATGTATGGCATAACAACATGCCATGAATGTGACAAGGTTTGCTGATCAGCTGAAGATCTGAAACAACATATGAGAATATATGGTGACCAACAAGTAACTTTTTATTGCTGGAGGCTGTCATGTATGTAATGTCTTTGCCAAAAAGTGTATGAGGTCTGTCTAAAAAGTAATGTAACTGGTTTTACAAACAATTTATTTTGATTCAAAACTATGGTTTCCCCTTCATTGTAATCCTCCTTGAGTCTAATGCACTTTTTCAAGATCAGGTGAATGGGGAAGTTGTTCCTGTATGGTGATATTCTTCTTGGCGAGGAACTGCTAAATGCTCAAGATGTTTTGAGCAGGTGCATTGTCATGGTGAAGCAGCCATGATTTGTCCTGCCACAGCTCTTGTATATTCTTTTGCACTCAGTGAAGCAAATGTTGCAGGATCTCTTTGATCATCTGGCCCTGTGGCAAAAACTCACTGTAGATGATGTCTCTCACATTGAAGAATGCGATCAATTTGAAATTGACTTGTGACATTGTCTTGATTTCTTCAGGATCTGCAAAGTTGTCGACTTCTATCGACAGCTCTGGTGCTTGGTTTCCAGGTCGTATTCAAAAATCCATGTCTTATCATCAGTGATGACTCTAAGTCTGGTTCAGTTTTAAGATGATTGATGATGTCCTGAATGCGACGCTCCTTCCGATCATCTTTCAACCGTCTTGGCACTATTTTTGTGCAGACTTTCCACATGCCCAAATCTTCAGTGATAGTCTTCCAAACTCTGTCCTTTTTCATATCCAGTTGACTTGCAATCATTTGAACAGTCACCTGACAATTGCTATACACCACTTACCTTACCTGCTCAACATTGACCTCAGCCCTGCTTACTGAAGACCTCATGCTCCTGAAGTCATCTCCTACCTCTTCACGCCCCAGTTTGAACCTCTTGTGCCACTCAAAAACATGTGTGTGCAACATGGTGGTATCTCCATGTACTCGCTGAAGCATTTCAAGTGCTTGTTGCTCCTGGGTATGACTTGAAACTGCATCCATGGTGGGGATCCTGATTGGGAGATTTGGGAAGTGCGAAGCCACCCCTTAGTTGCCATTACTCCCAGGTTCACTCTGACTAGAGTGGTGGTAGCTATCACCTATGGGTTAAATAGAATTTGTATCTACAAAATATATGTTTATGAAACAAGTTTGCCTACTAAGCAACCATCTATGAAGCAGAACTGTCCACAAACCATTTACAAACTATACAACCAACTACACACATCAAAAAATATGTCTTGTAAATAAATAGACTATAAAATGTAATGTTAACAAATCATATGACCACAAAACCATTCACATACACCCAGATAACAAACTATCCACCTATGAAATTGAAACAACTGACTTGGGTGTGATATTAAACTGCACAAGACACAAACCTTCTAAAAATTAAAAAAACATTTGTAGTTTCCCAAATCATTTAATTGCAGACCCTACAAATGGATCCAAAACAACCAAAGAAGGGTGAATTGACAGGCCTCCTTTTTGCCATGGGTGTCAACTCATGATATC